TTTCAAAATATTTTTAATTCTGACTAAAATGTAATTTACCATTTTTTTTTTCTTGTTTGGTTTCAAAATATTTTTAATTCTAACGATAAATATCGACGACTTCAGTATTTGGGACCGATTAAACACTTATTGTCTGGAATGATCTAAATAAGTGTATTTTTTAACTTTTTATGAAAAGATATGCAGAAAAATAGAGAGGTGATGTGACCTAAAAAGATAAAAAGTGTACTTATATAGTATATCCCAAACCAAATATTAACGGTTAAAATATTAAGAATCAAAATAATACAATGCAATACACAAACCCAAAAGAGTAATTAGGCCAAAAATTTCATTAAAACTTGTAATTTCATTACTATGCAATACGTAGAAGGTGTATTAGAGGAATACCATATTCAAATCCAGAGATCACATTTTAAAATTACCTATAATATTTTTCCAATCTTGTAGGAACTGGGGTGAAACATCCTGAGATGAAACAGGCTAACAAGAGAAGAATCGAAAGGGAGCTGTGACTTGAATTGAATACTTTTTATAGAAAGGAACCCATAGCTGGGTGAATTTAGAAGCTTCCAGAACAGAGACATGGGTTTGTTTGGCATGAAGGTTTGGGTTGGGTTGAAACTATTTTAGCCACAAAAAGATAAAATAAGTTTTTTAGTCTAATAACATTCAAACTATAATTATTTCATTTTTTGTTTTACAAAAGTTAAAAAAATCAAAAAGCTTATATCAAACGAGACTTTTTAACTCAAGACTAAAATAGTCAAAAAAAACTAAAAGTTAAAAAAGCTAATCCACAATCCAAATGAAGGCTTATCAGCTGGGTATAATCTACTGCTAACAGGCATAGCACTGTGTTCACTGTCAGGATAGGTGGTTCCAGAATAGGGTCTGCCGTTGTAACAAACATGTCTGCTGAAGGTAGCTCAGGCTTCCCATTTCACTCACCGAAAAAAACCAAAACATTTTACCATGAACATAATTAAGAATAACATAAATTAACTAGTTATACTAAATTAAAATTAGATTTAAAAGTATATGGACCAAATTATTCAAATTAAAATTATAGGGTCTAAAGTAAAATTTAAGTCATACTACAAAACAAATCAGATTTAAAAAGAAATCAAAACAAAGTAAAACATGTGATGGACATCGTGAAGAAGAAGAATGAATAAACCAATAGTATGAATATACCATTGCATGAGAATTTGAGGATACGTTTTGTAGTCAACTTGGTTCCATTTAGTGCTGACAGTGAGAAGCCAGATGAAAGTGAAGCATGACTCGCACAGAAACGCTAAGAGCCAACTGAGTCCAAGATCTTTGAAAGAGAGGAGACAACAAACTAAGAGAGAGGGGAAAATGAAGAGGGTAATGAGTTCGACAGCTTGATGTATGTTGTTTTTCTGAGCGACTCGATCGTAGAGGGGTAAAGAAATAGGGTTGGTCATTCAGAGAAACCAGAGGTTTATGCCTTCAATGTTCTTAAGAGAGAGAGAGAGAGAGAGTTTGTAAATGGAGGAGAGCTTTGTGCGTTATTGTTATGGTTATTTAAATGAGAGTTTGCAAATGGAGAGCTTTGTGCCTTCTTGTTATGGTTATTTTATCAGTAATGCTAAGTCCTCTAATTTTGAAATTTCAAAACCAATTTTTAATGATATGACAAGCACTCATTGAATATATTTTATGTTTTAATAGGATCACTACAACAAATTACATTTTTGGCGATAAAATGTGGCGGTTAAAAAAATTTATTCGTCAAAAGTTGTAAAATTGACGACTAAAAATTATATTAATCGGTAAAATTACAATATTTAGTTACTAATTTTTTTTAGTCGGGATATATTAATTATTGACGACTTAAAAAAAATTTAGTTGCTAAAAATGTCACAATTGGCGGCTAGAAAAAATATTTTAGTCACTGTATATTTAGTTTTTGCTACTAAAATTATTTAGTTGCCAAATGAAAATCAAAAATTTACTTTTTATCTTTGGTGACCAAAAGTTTAGTTGTCAAAAATTTATTTTTAGCGACTCAAAAAAATTTTAATTGCTGTATAGTTAGTTTTGGCTATTAAAATTATTTAGTCGCCAAATGAAAAACAAAAATTTACTTTTTTATCTTTTGGTCACCAAAAAATTATTTTCAGTGACTAAAAAAAATGTTTAGTCGCCAAAGAACTAAAATATTTGGAGGGAGACATTTCAAATTTTAGAAGGATTTATAAAATTAATTAGTGACCAAAATGTTTAATCGCAAATTGTGTAAAATGACCGATATATATTTTGCAGATACATATGTATTCACACATGTAGATACATATTCAGGATTGCTCTTGATGGCAGTTATGGGCCTGATGTTCCCAGTTGTGCTTCACGTTACACACCAACTCCCTCTCTCTCTCTCTGTTGGGAGAACAAATTTCTCCCTCCCTCTCTCTCTCTTTCTGTTGGTCGGATCCTTCAACTCTAGCGTTACCACTTCGCACATGAACACCAGCAACCACTGGAGTAAAAAAGCATTTCTCCCTCCCTCTCTCTGTCTCTCTCTATTGATTCTGCTGAACACATCTATGCGCAACTATATATATTTGTCTCTATATTTATATATATAGAACAAAGACCTCTACTCAACTGTCCATATATACTTATTCAAATTGAAAACATAGACCCTATTTTGTGATTTTGAAAATTGGGTAATCACTGGCTTGCTACCACACCACTGTTAGCCACCATTGTTCTTGCCTGGTATTTCCTCTTTCCTCTTACATTTCAATTTGAAAACTTTTACTTCTTATCAATTTTTTTTCCTTCTCTTATTAGACCCATTTTACATGTGTGCTTGATTTTTTTGTTTTATTTAATCAATTGTGTTTTTTTATTTTATTTTATTTTATGATTTTACATTAATATTTGTTTTTATTGATGGGTTTGTTTGGATCGGATGCTTTTAACAACAATTTTGATGAGCTTTGAGGTAATTTTTTTTGAGAATGGAAGTCTCTCAATGAATATAGCGATTAGGATTGAACTATTGTTAACAATAGTGCACAAACTTTTGTAGATAATGTGTTTGTTAGATTGCCAACAAGAGTGTTCTTTGTCAAGTAGGGTGTACAGAGCTGATTTTAATGGTTTGCTCTTTTACCATCATCGGCTATGGATTCCCCTGTTTTATCACCTTAGCAGAGGGTTGCTTTTCCTAGTTGCTTCTCGTTTCCTAATTTTGCCCCTCCAATTTTTTAAACCTTACATATCAGTTCCACTTTGCCAGTTGCTCTGGCACTTGGTTTAGCAACCATGCTCTCATAGGCAAGTTGATAAGGTGAAGTAGGGACTGTGTCAGATCGGACCTGCTTCTCTCTTTGTCAGACCAAATTTTGCCAATGCTCCAAAGCGTAATAGGTAGGCATGTAAGAAAGTGGAGTTTTTGGATTTGAACGCGTAGAAAAATTGTATTAATAGGTAGAAAGTTAGAATTATTAATTTTATAATTGTTATAATTTGTAAAGTATAATATATCAGAATTATTAATTTTATGATTGTTATAATTTGAAATGTCAATTTTATTAAATAAGTGCTAATAGTTTTTTATTTATTATTTTTTACAAATTGTTTTTGCGTGGGCTATTATGGATATTTATTTTTTGGATAAATTACAAATACACCCCTTAAGATTTGATTAAAATAAAAATCGCCTCTTGTGATTTTAGAAATTACATTCTGCCTCTTGAGATTTCAAATTTCATAACAAATCACCATTTTTATTAATAAATCATTAAGTCAATTAATAGTTTTTGATGATGTTATAAATATGTTTCAATTAATAATTTAAGTAATTTTATCATTGTATAGGAGAGCAATTATGAATTTCTTTTGTTTAGTTAATTCTGTTAAATAAATTTTTTTAACAAGGGGGTATTTGTAATTTTTCAAAGTACAGGGGGCAATCTGTACTTTAAGCAAACATCAGGGGATGTATTTGTAATTTATCCTTTTTTTTATGTATGAAGAGCATTTGTTCTGTATATAGAAAACATTTATTTTTGTACAATCCTCTGTTTTGGAAATCAGTGTTTTTGTATGTAATATGTAATTTAGATGGATTATACTTGTTTGGTATAGATTTATATGATATTTGAAATAAGAAGTTACAGGTTAAAGTTTTTGAATAGTTGATAATGAAATGGGTATTATTGATAATGGATTTAGATTATAATTGATAGATATATTATTCTATATATGTATAGGTTACAGGTTGCATTGATAATTGAATGCATATAATTCAAAAATTAATGAAAAATATTCAAATTGTGCATTTTAAAAAAATTAATAAATAGAGCTTTTGACGACTAAATATTTAGTAGTCAAAAAATAAAAAAGGGAACTTGTTGGCGACTAAACAGTTAGTAGCAAAAAAAAAGGAAAGTTTTTGGTGACTAAAAAATTAGTAGCTAAAAAGAAGCACCATGATTTTGCTGACTAAATATTTTAGTCACTAAAACAAAAAAGCACATTTATTGAAAACTTTGGGTTACTAAATTTTTAGTCGCCAATTGGTGACTTCGGCGACTAAAAAAAACTTTGGCGACTAAAAATGACTTTTGGCTACTGAAAAAATTAGTCACCAAAAGTGTAATTTGTGGTAGTGTATGAACTTTTGGTGACTAAAAAATTAGTCGCCAATTGAAGGCTTTCAGTGACTAAATAATTTTTAGTCGCCCATTGAAGATTTTTAGCAACTAAATAATTTTTAGTCACCAATACCTTTCCCGACAATCATCCACTGACAAACTTGGCAATCAAAAAGTTTAGTCGGCAAAACGTTTTGGCGACTAAAAGATGACTTTTGGTGACTAAAAATTTAGTCAGCAAAAGTGTAATTTGTTGTGACGGTTGGATTGGTTTGATTATCTGATATACAACAAAGAAAGATGTAGAACATTTATGCTTCTTAATGGAATCATTGATACAGCAGGGGATAACAAGGATGATTGTGACATTTAATCACACTGATATTTAAAGGCATACACACTATTTATGATCACATACAAAACAAGAAAAATCAATCAAGGAGAACAAGAGGCATGAAATTCCCCATTCCACATTGTTCCATGAATCACATGATTTTGGCTTCATCAATTCATCCAGGACTGTGTTTGCATCGATTGTAGGTGGTACAAGGCCGTTTATAATTATTGGCTTGCCCGATGTAATTGCCGTATATCATTGTCTTACATACGGGAGGCCTCCCTAGAGTTCCTAGCGAAATAAACTTTTGGTTAGAAGCAAGAAACCTTCTAGTCATCTCTAATTCCATCAACAACTCTTCTTCTCCTTCTCCCTCATCTGCTAAGCATTCGGCAATGGTGGCATTGCACTGATCACCAGAGATCATTGAGTTGCTCTTTTTAGCCGAAGCTGCTCCACATATACAGAAATGAATGGTCATGCATGAATTTGCATTAATTTTTTTTTTTTTGTGGAAGTCCAGAGCCTCTGTAGGTGCTAGGTATGTAGTGTGTAGTGCATTTTTGTAGACGATGTTGTTTTGGTGCAACCAAAAACAAAACACAAAAGCAAAGCTGTGCCCCCCACTCCACGCCCAACAGCTCCTGCCAGCGGCCCTCACAGTCATCACTGGTGCCATTCCTACTAGGATTATATTCCTTACTGCCTTAGAGACCACAAAAGCGGCTACTCTCAGGTTGGTTGAGCCATTCAAATTGTCCGAACCGACACAGGCAGCCACAGCAAATGGAGTTGCCGGCATGGCAGCAGCAGTTTGTTCTCAGGCCATATTTGTTCCAATTGATGTGGTATGTCAACCATGCTCTTATTTGAGATTTATTTTTTGTTTTTCGTATAATGTGAAAGGTATCATCTGTTGGGTGCGGTGTGTAAATAAAGAAAACGAAACACAAAAGGGTTCAATAGAATTTTTAAATTTTTTAGACATAACAACATTTAGTTGTTCAAGTTCTCATCGGCTTCCAACTGAGAATTTTCATGTCATACATGGAAGGCAGATCTCAGTATTTTGGAAATTCCTTTCACTTGAAGTGATTTACACTTATTTTCTTCCCAATTTCACTATAAGTTGTGGTTTAAGTTGAATTTACTCCAAAATTGAACAATTTTCAAAGGGAGAGAGCATCTTTACATTGGAATGCATTTTTTGACATTTTGTTCCTTCATGATACTAAGTCATTGGGCACTTCTTATTTTACTTTTGGTGTATTATTGCTTCTGCTTAAGAACATTTATGGATGCTACAATCTCCATTTTGATCAGGTTATATGGTGCAAGGATAGTCAGGCCATGCGACCTATAATGGGGGACTAGATGTTGCTCGCAAGGTTTTGAAGGTGGATGGCATTCGGGGACTATACAGGGGGTTCGGTCTATCGGTCCTGACTTATTCCCCATCTAGTGTTGTATGGTGGGCAAGTTATGGTTCAAGCCAACGCTTGATCTGGAGGTAATGCATGTTTTTTTTGAACAAGAGGTAATGTATGTTTGCTCAATTTGATTTAGCGGTTGATGTGTTGTGGGAGATCATTAAATTTAGAACTCTGGTTCAACAAGCGATTGTTCCTTGTTTAGTTTATCTTCTTAACCCCTCTGTTGACTTTGTTTTATAATTTATAAAATTTTCTATTGTAAACCCTCTAGTTGGTTATCCTCAATGAAAGCCATGTCTGTCTTCAACTAGTGTTCACTATGCCCAATGATCTGAAGACTTCTTACTTTCCTGTGATATTGCCTTTATGTGAAGGCAATACTTGAGTGGTCTAGTTGCCATGGCATCGTGCATCACAATGCCATTGGACACTATGAAGACTAGCTTACAGGTACACCTAGTTGGCTTCAATTTTTTTCCTTTCTCTTGTCAGTTCTGATACTTTATTTGTGATGAAATAGTGATTATTTATTTATTTATTTTGGTGCTATTAGGACAGTGAATTTTTCACTTTCTTTTTTTTTGTTTTTTGTTCATGATGTGTTGTTCTGTGAGTTACACAGTTTTTGGTGAAAGAAAGTAGAGTGATTGTCATGCATGTTAATAGTTAACACTCTAAGATTGTTACATTCAAAATTTTTAGAAATACACAACTCGTGTATCTGTTTCAATTCCTTGTTAATACAATTGGTAGGTGTTCCAGAAAAAACCTCAGGGTTTTCACATGATTTTACAGCTTGCTGCTTGCACTACTATGTTCGACCAAATAGCTTCTTTTGTTGATTTATCCATTAAACTAGTTGTTTTTGCAATATAGGTCATGGGACACGAAAAGAAACATACTGTAAGAGAAGTTGTTAAAGGATTAGTTGCGGATGATGGCTGGAAAGGTTTATACAGAGGACTCGGTCCAAGGTTTTTCACTATGTCAGCATGGGGAACCTTGATGATACTTTCCTATGAATATTTGAGTAGGGACTTTTCTTTCACACTGTTATTATATAGCATCATATTTGTTGTTGTTATTATTATGCAGAATGATGAGATTGCTAAAACATTTGTGGATTTGATCATTGTGAATTATTGTATTGGAAAGTTTAAACCTGTGAGTTACCCTTTGTTCTCTTCTTATAATCATGCTCAATCAATTTGATTAATAGTGTTTATTCTTCTTTTTTGTACAGAACGCTTGTGTGTGAAAGATCAATAGATTTTTGGCCTTGAACAACAAAGAATTGGTTTGCACAGTCAACTGGGATTTCATTCGCTAAAGAAGATAGTTTTGCTTGGTATTTACAGGAATGCTTACCCGGGCATCCACACATATAAACTCAACAAATTGTAACCCTTGTTAAATTGACTGGGTTACCTTCATACCTATTAAAACTGGATTACTTCCTGATTTCCTGGAAGGCTTTGTAAGATCAATCTTTAATTCTTTTTAGCTCATTTCTTATTGCATTCTTGGGCTATAATTGAACCGATTTGTATCTGCAATTTGTGTATTCTTAAATCATAGAATTTCATTATATATTCTTCTGTTGTGTTCCCCTTTTGGTTGTTTTCTGTTTCATAGATTACATCGCCCGGAATAATGATTATTGGTTGATACAAGGTTAACGTATCAAATGAGGGAGAGACCATAGAACAAATGATGATACGCTGGTTCAAAATCTCCCTACTTGTAACATAGACGCTCAGTTCATTCACTAGTTTTGGTACCAAGAGACTTTAGCAGATTAGTTAGTTAGCACTTGAAATGAAAACTTCCCAATTGGAAGGAAAAAGAGAAGGAAAATAGAAGTCCCAAATCACCTTTATAGGATGTGAAAATGTTTTCATATACCTTCAGTTACAGAGAGTATTGCAGGAGAGACGCTAGTGAGTATAACGTCTTGTTAGCTTTTCCAGAACTGCAGAGAAAAACATCTCATCACCGTCTTTATCAGTCTTCGGCACCACCCTCCACAGCAGCTTTTGATAGTCAAGTCTGGTGCCGATCACAAAATCCCATTTGAAGTCGAGCGTAGCAGATTTGAGTTCTGCTAGTGAGAAATGTCGTTAGAGATTAGACGGTAAGCGTTAGTCTTCGTGGACTTTGACGTGTGTGAAATCGAAAATTGGACCCACGATGACTTGACCACGCTTGCTCCGGAGTCTCTCACCCTCCTCCGTCGGCTAAAAATCAAGAAGCCAATCACTGAAATCAAGAATACTCCGCCGATTACACCTCCGGAGACGGCGACGACCAACCACGAGGACGTTTTACTATTCTGTTTGCCCGGTAGCTTTGGATACGGTGCCGGCTGTGCAGGAACCATATCGTATTCAGGATTGGGCCCGGCGAGACTACCGTCCGATTGATTCAATTTGAAGATCTCTAAACCGTTCAAGATTGCATCAGCGTACATGGGCTTGGAGTTCATATTCGGGTGCATCGCGAGCCACAAATCCACCTTACTCCGGAGACCATCGACGACTGGGACTGAAAGAATATAATCTTTGAAAACAGGAATTCCGCGACCGCCACTCAAGTGTATAACATCAACCTCCTGATCAGCAGTCTGATTATTCATATACACAGAAAATATCCTCTCATTTTCTTTGGTTACCTCCGGTTGAAACTCGCAAAAATGAAGCCTAGCCAAGTACAGGAACCCAGAATCAACGTTGAAGATCCAAGTCAACCTGTACTCCAAGTTTACATATGGGTCCCTTCCCATGGTCCGAGCCGTAGTGTACACAGTCGCCGGAGCGGTGTAATTCGGTGTCCCGTTAGTGTACCGAATTGGGATCTCAAGGTGAGGCACCAAACCAACGGCGCCGCCGTATATATACTGGTCATCTTGCTGCCACGTCCGGTACATGCCGGTATCGTGATTCACAGACACGTCGTTGCCACCAACGTTTAACCGGTACAGAGTTTCAAGAGCAGTGTTGTCATCGATATAGAAAAATTGTTGAGAGCCAACAAGAGGGATAGGATTGAGATCGCCTTTCATGTAGAAATTGTTGGGAATTGAAACGACTTCAATGCCGTTGATAAAGGCGTATGAGTTGGGAGATGGGTTGAATGTTATGTCGAGCTTTTGGGTGTCTCTGACATTGAGAATGAACTCTTTGACGAGAGAGGATTGTTGGGGAACCAAAGCAGAGACGGTGAGGAAGGCACTGAAGTTGGTTAGGAGGGTGTAGTTTGCGACGGTGACGGAGAAGTAAGATTTTGATCTGTCGAGATTTGAGTAGGTGGCTGGGTAGAAGTAGAGGCGAATGAATTTGGGGCCGGAGGAGACGGGGAAAGTGTAAGTGAATTTGGAGGTGAAGATGCGGGCGGTGAGGAAAGGGATGTCGGTGACAGAAGGGTCTTGTTCGGTGGCCGTGGATGGTGATGAGGTGGTGCCGATGTTGGATGGCCAGAATTTTGAGGTGGCATCACCGTCCCAGCTCCGGCCGTCTGGTGACGTGGCTTTGGAGGATGAGCCGCAGTTCAGGAGGAAGTAATCGGTGGGTGTGTAAGGCGGTGTTGTGGCCGCCGTGGAGGAGAGGAGGTGGAGTAAGGAATAGAGGTAGAGAGCGATGGTGAGCATGTTGGGGGTGTTGAAGATTGAAGTGTTTGATGTATTGTCAAGTCCAAACTGGAAGCTAACTTAAGGTGATGAGTTTTTTCAATTTAAGTTGGGTGGTGGGTAACAGAAGAGTTGTAATTGGCTCCGAGAGAGTGGGAGAGCTTGGATTGGTTAATGGTGGTCAAAATTGGCGCTTCACGAGGGGACCTTTTAGGTCACGTAATAGATATTTTCAAGTCGGTTCAATTTTTTTTAGTCTTCATATCCGAAACTTCTTGGAATGGTTAGTTTTGAGAATCGAATCTAGGGTTTTCATTTTTTGTGACCAATTCTATGTTTTAATCATGTGTTCTTGAAATTATTATGAAACCAATGTTTGATTAATCTACATCAGAACAATCAACCATGATAGTTTCGTGCTCTGGTTTGGATGAAACTTGAAGGGAAATGCCTATGGATTTTATTAGGGCAAATCACATATACTTTTCTCGATGTTTAGTTAAATTATAAATATCCTCTGAGGTTTCGAAAATTACATCCCGCCCCCTGAAGTTTGTATTTTCATAACAATTTACCTCATGAAATTTATATTTCATAACAAATTACCCCATAATTTCTTATGCAAATATAGCATTCAAGGGGGAATTCGTAATTTCTCAAACCTCAGGAGGTATCTATAATTTAGCTAAACTTCAAGGGATATATGTAATTTGCCCTTATTAAGTGTCAAATCCCACTAAATATAATGCAAAGCTAATTCACTTTCGCAGACAAATAACTCACTTACTGGGAATAAATATCAAGTGCAATATAACAAATAGAAAGTCACAAACAAATATCAGAAGGATACCATTTAATTCTGGTTAACCCAACCATGTACTTCTCACTATTGTAATGTGATATTTTTTTTAGTTGCCAATGCTACTCATTGTAAAGACTCTATTTCAATAACATCCTAAATTTCTGCCAAATTTAATGATCACGTATATCAATTATTTGATTAGTTTGTTAGAGAAATTAACATGTTGATTATATTGTGGAATATACTCATGGGTTCTTGCTAGATTCCCACAATCTTAGGCTTTTGTGTTCACCAACCAAGTTTGGGAAGAGGGTTAGATGCTAAAATAGTCAATGAAAACAAAATAAGTTAAAATAGTTAATAAGTGAAACTGTCTCATTTAAATTATAATTATTTCACTTTTTCTTTTACATCCATCAAATCAACTACAAAAAAAAAAAAAAAATTCCTAAAAAAAAAAAAAAAAAAAATCAACTATCATCCCAAACACAATTTTCTTTAGTTAAGTTAAAATAGTCATAAAGTTAACTAAAATAGCAAAGTTCCCAAATTAGCCCAAAATAAGCACAAGTGTTGGTACTACTTTTTGTCAGTATTGCTTGAAAATCAACAAAGATCATCTCTATACAATTGGAAATTCTCCAAATCTATCCGTTAAACTCAGAGAGTACAACTAAAACACACTACTAATAGATGCATCTAAATTGTTGGAAAATAATAATTTTTCGACAACTTTAATTCGAACTTAAAGTGAGACCCAACCGCCAGCTGAGGTGGGACTGAGTGGTTTTGTATTCTCTCAAATGAGAAGATTACAATATAAAAATGATAGGCCAAAACCATTCAGTTGTTAATGAGAATTGTTTCATAAAGTGGGCATCAATAGAAGTTGGGCTTGGGCCTAGGATTGGACTTGGACTCAGTTTTAATCTTGGTCTGGACTGGCCTAGGCTTGTGTATGTGCATGTGTTGGACTTAGTCTTGGGCATAGGCTATGTGCTATGCTAGACTGGGCTTGTTTTGTGCAATTGTTTTAGACTGGGCGTGGATCGGGTTGTGACCCAATACCCGTATCCATTTTGCGACCCATCTAGTTGGATTATTTAAATAGCAGTATATATATATTTATATTTTTATTTATTTATTCAACCTTTGTAACTCTCATATTTTGATGATAGAGCTGATGATCATTATGCACATGGGATTTTTATACCTTTGTAACTTCAGCTCTAAAGGCTAGAGTTGATGGCCATTGATGCTAAGTTTTATGATAGCCTTTATGGCTAAGACCTCTTCCCTACAATTATAAAAAAGGTCTTTTCCCTCCAACTTAAGAAGAAGAGTTTAAGAGAGATTTTTGATGGAAAATGGAGATGTTGTTTTGAGATTAAAAAAAAAAATTGGAGATGATTTTTTACACTAAAGAAAATTTTCCTATCTTCTTTTGCTAGTCCCCTTTTTGGTTCTTGTTAGAGAGAGTGCAACCCTTATCAAGTTCGCCGAAACTATTCGGAAGGTGCTTCTGCATTAGCTGGTTTCGACCATCGTATCTTGAGAGATAGACATCGGCATACCTTCAGCATCCATCGGGAGGCGGTGAATCTGTTTTAAGGAAACTGTGGTATTACACAGGTTTCGGTTTGCTTCCTTTTACTAGTTTTATTTTATTATAATTTTTTGTAAATTCTAGTATGTTCTTGTTTTGAAACTCAAAGTGGTTGTTCAATATGAATCTATTTATTTTGTTTGATTTACACAATTTGTACAACAATAATTTCCAAGATCAAGGAATAAAAGTTATCAAAGAAAGATGTAGAACATTTATATATATGCTTCTTAATCGAATCAATGCTACAATAGGGGATAATAACAAAGATGATTGTGACATTTAATCACAATGTTATTTAAAGGCATACACACTATATATGATCACAAAACAAGAAAAATCAATCAAGAAGAACAAAAGGCATGAAATTCCCCATTCTACATTGTCCAAATCACTCACAACGTTCCATGAATCACGTGATTTTGACTTCATGAATTCATCTGGGACTGTGTTTGCATCGATTGTAGGTGATACAAGGCTGACTATCCTTATTGGCGCGCCCAATATTATCGCCGTGTAGTTTTGTATTACATACCGTAGGCTTTTGTAGACCCTTGTACGAAATTTGCTATTAGTTATAAACAAGAAACTTTCTAGTCATCCCTAATTCCATCAAGAACTCTTCTTCTTCTTCTTCTTCTTCTCCTCCATCATCTGCTAAGCATTTGGCAATGGTGGAATTGCAGCCCCTAAAGATCATTGAAGAGAGATGGAAGAAAACCATCAAAAGTAGGACAAAAGAGAAATGGAGGTGGTATGGTCTGATCTTCATTTCAGTTTTCATCTCATCCTTGGAGCTTTTTCTGTTGAATTTAGATATTAATTTCTTGATCTTTGTTAGGACGAAACTGGCCCAATCAATTACATTTTCTCTTACACCTATCTATTCAATTATAAAAAATAAAAATAAAAAATTTCACAGAATTCTAAATTACAAAATTCCCATTGCAAAACTATAAAACTATTTTCAAAATATACAGGGGTAAATTACACTTTGCTTCTCTTATGTTTGGTCATTTTCTCACTTTAGCCTTTAAAGTTTGTTTTTACTTACTTTAGTCCTTCATTCTTTAAGTTTTTCCCACTTTATTTTTAAAACTAACTTCTGTTCAAATTAGATTAAAAATGTTACAATAACTGTCACATAAAATAAAAAATATATTATTATATTAGAATTTATTTCTCAAAAGTGTGATATAATAAAATATTTTTTATGTCACGTAATTGTCAATGTGTACTTTGAGCAAATCTTATGGGATATATTTGTAATTTACCCATTAAATAAATAGCAAATTGGTGATAAATCAAATCTAAGGAGAGTATAATGCATTAGGTCAAGTGAATATTTTTTGTTGGTGAGAGATCCACTCTTTGTTTTGGTAAGAAGTTTTTTTCATTTGTTTTGAAAGATATTTTGTTTTCTATTTTACCCCTTAAGTTATATGTTGACTATTTGTTCAAATTTTTTTTCCTATCTGTAAAAAATTTGAACATAATTTTTCACTATCTGTTCAAATATTTTCTATCTGTTCAAATTCTTGACTATCTATTCAATTTTTACATCTATTTGTTGAATTTTTAAACATATTTGTTGAATTTTTTTTCTATTCAATTTTTTATTTGTGTATTTTTTTTTATCTGTAAAGTTTTTTTTTTTTTAACCTATGTGTTCAAATTTGTATCTATTGGTCAAAATTTCAAGCTTATTTATTTATTTATTTTGTCTATTAGACTAATTTGTTCAAATTTTTGTGCACCTGATGGACTAATCTGTTCAAATTTTTGATGGAAACCGTAAAACTACACATTTCAAAACAAAGTAAGAGAGAATAAATCTTCCTCCATTGTAGCACCAAACACAAGCACTGGTTGAAAACAAAGAGAGAGATGAAGAATATTAGTAGCTCAGCTTCTTTCTCATCACACATAATGTAGGGAGAGAGAGAGAGCCATGGAATAAATGAACCGCGACTACATGTACGGCATGACGGGGAATCCCAACAAAATTAAGATCAATAAACAACTGCTAACTAATTAAACACAATTCACAAACAGAACCCAACTGAATTCAGATCAATAAACAACATTTCAAACACAGATCACTTTCGAAAGCATTTCGACGATGGAATCAAGAATATGCCACGACTGACGATCATAATACTCCTCAATAGTGAGCTTTCAACCCGAATCATTATGTGAATGAGGGACCACGAAAACCTTCAATTTCTTCGAATTGTACTTGTTCCCTTCGTATCTTACCCTTCAGTCCTACTTCCACGGCCCATCATCTACATCCAAGAACTGATCTTATCATACAGATCCTTGGTCATGATATCAATAACAACACTCGAAACACCGTCGCGATCGCCCAACCAAGGAGATTTTTTTCGATTAATTGGACTTTTTTTGGTGCGACAAAAAGGTGGTGGTGTTGCAGTAGCGGGGACAACGTTGTCCTCTCTACTAACGACATGGTTGCTTGAGCGTTTTTTTGTCAACTGTCACTGCTGTGGTGCCGACATGGCTAGGGTTTAGATTTGCTGTGGTCAACTAGATCTGCCAGTCGGAACATAAGGTAGAGGAATAGGCGGTGGTGATGGTAGTTCAGATCAGAGAAAACGAAGAGAAGAGAGATAGATCAGAGAAGAGAGAAGAGAGAAAAGAGAAGAAAGAGCTAGATCGGAGACGGGGTAAGGTGGAGGAAGGGCAGTGGTGATGTTGCAAGAAATGGTTTGGAAAAAAAAAATAGATTTTTTCTAAACTTTAGTATAAATTTTAGGGGAAC